ACGAGCTACACAATCCAAATAAAAATTAGACTGTTTGTAGCAAGAAGCAAGATACATTGTCGAAGAGAATAACTTTTCATAGTAACAAGGTTTATCCTGGGCAGAAGTAATTGCGAGTATCACACTCGATTTCAATTCACGAACTCGTACATTCGCCATCTTACAATATCATCCCGTGTTTCGTATTCCAACTGGGTCTCAGCCATCCACTTCGTTCTCTCGAAGCTCGTTTCACCTCGTGTCACGAAATCGCTGCACTGGGACTCGGCGATTTGCTAGATTAGAGAAACTCCGGCGAGGGCCCTGACAAGTGGCGTACTCCTCGTATAACTGTGTCTCCAGCTTTTCTTCTCATTTTCTGAAATAACCGTCCGTGAACAATGACCATCGTATAGCTGTCGCTAATTTTTCTGTAAACGTTCTCGGGGATTTGGCGTGTTCCTGTTCGTGTTCGTGTTCGTGTTCGTGTATCGTTATCGTTGAATGAAAATTTTTGTCAGACAAAGTCAGAAAAGGAAAGAGTAAAGGAGGGAGTAAAGCTTGAAAGACGAAAGTAAGGCAGCAGAAGGCTACGAGAGAGAAGAAAGAAAGTGGAAATGAGAAGGAAGAGACGAAAGGAAGAATTGAAAGGAGAAGGAAAAATGCAAGAAGGAGGCAAAATGGAAGAAAGAAAAGAAAGAAAGAGAGCGAGAGAAAATGAAGGACGTAAGGGAGAGTGTTGAACAAGTATTATCGATTCGCAAGATTTCTTCGGACTTGTGTTTAATTGCTCTTGATTTTTGGCCAGCATTTATAGTTATCGTTCCTGAGGCCATACTTATTTCGGAGCGTGTGCACGAGGAAAGAAAGGAAAGAAAAGAAAGAAGAGGGTGAAAGAGATAACAGCAACGAGACGAGAGAAAAGACGGGACAAACGGGAGAAAGGAGAAAGATCAAAGGGCGAAAGCGAGAGAACAGAAAGGAAGGAAACGAAAGAAAGCAGGGAAAGAAAGGGAATTCGTCAGAAACAAAACTATTCTTTCACCATCGCGGATCCTCAAAGTTCAAACAGCAAACAATCGATGCTTGCTTAACCTAAAAATATCACACTCTTTTCTTCGGCGACGTAATTCAATCAAGACTTTTAACCAATAAACGAACGTTCGTTTGATCCTTTGCCAAATTCTTCCCGCAAAGTGACATACATCCGTTGTGTACGTGGGAGGGGGAAGTATAGTTAAAAAGAAAAATCCCTTGAAAGCTGCCATTCAGAACGCGTTTCAAAGTTCCAAATTGAGGATTCCGTTGCTCGTGGTTCGATCGTTGCGCCGGTAGCAGCGCGCCGGTCGCTACTTCCGGTTCGGCTTGGCAATAAAAAGTTACGAGCACTCTCTCTCTCTCTCTCTCTCTCTCTCTCTCTCTCGCACGTAAATTCGCAAGATGAATTTCCAGCGAAAAACAGTTACTTGACATTCAGTGGCTCGCGGTGAATTGAGCCGGGGCTGCTAACCCGGAAGCAGCACTTGTACGCGTTGAAAAGTTTATTCATAGCCCGGGCCCGCGTCCCGCTTTGGGAAAAAAAAAAAAAGAAAAAAGAAAAAAGAAAAAGAAAAAGCTGGTCCGCCTCGGCCGGTTTTCTAAACCCGGCCCACCCGCGCTTCTCCGTCCCTTCTTCGCACAATGCGCCAACCGCGAGTCCAAGGGAATCCCGAATTAAAAAAACCTGGGAATTCAAACGTCCCTCGCGACGCGCAGACGAGGCGCCTTTCAAAGGTTGTGAGATATTGAGTTCGAGAGAGATGAAAACTGACGACGACGACGACGACGACGACGACGACGAGGCCGGTGAAAGAACGCGGCGCAACGTGGACACACAGTTGAAACGAACGAAACTGTCTTCGTGTATTATCATCTTCAGAACTTTGTTTCGGGAACGAGTTCACGCGCGGCCGACGACGAGGAGAGCATGGATGGTTCTCGGCGAGTGACAATGAATAATAACTTGCGGCGACCGTTTCTGCTAGGCTCTCTGTGGTTCTCTCTCTCTCTGTGTGTGTGTGTGTGTGTGTGGTTCAGAGCGGTGTGTTTCGGCGAAAGTGTCAGGGTTTGAGGGGCTTTTCAAAGACGGGTGGTTTTAGCGGGAGCTGCGTGTTACGGGAGAGGGGTTGAATGAAACGTTGCAAGACGACGGCTTTGAAGTGAAGGGAATAAAAATTGGGGTGTTGGGGATAATTGGCAGTTGGGATTGAAAGGGTGAACGCTTCGTAATATTAATTGTTCTTAATATACTCTGTTGGTCATGTCAGCCGTGGGGGAATTCGTATTTTCTACATGTTTTATATTATTCTTTTATATTTTCTAGGATAGTTTTCTATTTGTAATGTAACATATAATTTAAACAAAATCAACATTAAAGTAAGAATATATAATTTTAAAAAATTAGTGCAATTATATATTATAAAATACACAATATCTATAAAGAAAAGAATTAGCGTAATATACAGTCATGGCATAATTATGTAATATATATATTATAAAAATAGTATACACAAAATGAACATTCTGAAAGCTAACTATGAGAAAGGTATTAAAGGAATGAAAAATTCCGATGAATGAATTGAAGAAAAAATATTCTTCGCCAGCGAGTGTGGAAATTCTGCAAACAAAAAAAAATGGAAACTCTGCAAACGTATTACAAGCATAATGAACGTAAGCAGCGAAAGTGTAGCAAGATTTAACGCGATCTTCTTCGTAAATTCACGCGGCCGGAATGGAATGAAATATCGGGGAGATAAAGAGCTCTGCTGGGAATAAAGACGAGGATGTTGGAGAAAATTATGGTATTTATTATGGATGTAAGCAGGAAAGATAGGGATTTAATTTGATGTTAATAAGTAACTAGAAGTAGAAACGGTGCCTGAAGGATTGAACGTAATGCGCCGGTGGAAGTTGCAATGTTTATTGCGAATATAAGTAGATGATATACGAGGCGATGTAACGGAGTGCTCTCAGTTGTGTATATAGAGGTGTTAAGATCTGATGATGATGGCACGAGATGCAAGATTAAAGTTTGAGGAAACTGTATAATCATGGTAAGGAAATGTAATAACGGTGTATAACATGACAGCGGTACACGTTATACACGAGGACGCGATGCTTCCAGCATAATGTTCTGGTGCAATTGTAAAATTCTAGAGGACAGAATATGCCTCGAAAATAAAAACGAAATTTTCATTGTGAATTCTCGAATAGATCGAAAATGAAATAGTCAGTCGAGTCGAGCTAATTCTCCTTTTTTTTTTCATTGGAAACTATATTTTTTAAGAACAATGAATCTTACGAAACGTTCTGTACTCTGCAGAAATTAAAAATCGAACTTTTCGATAGAAACTACGAAAGATTACTGGAAATTCCTGATCGCTTCATCCGGAAGACAATTTAGAAAATCCACGATTTGTTAATGTTTATTAAGAAAACGAAATTAAAATAGTATTATCTGACTTTGAATGATAATAAAAAAAAATTCGCGTTATAATATTCAGCTCATTTCTGTTTATCTCTCACTGTTTATTCACCGATGGAAAATTTATTCGAACGTTTATTATTTATTCGTTGATCGTGCAGAACGTTCTTTGGCTCCGGAAAATGGAGCTTTAAAAGCGTATGAAAATTTATGGGAACTTGCGCGATTAGAAGCGCGACGCGTATCGATTAGCTATTAATCGACGAGAAACGAGACGAGATAATTAGATAGGAATTTAAGTAATTTAAATAGAAATTTTGGCGATTTAAAATATGCGTAACGACGAAGAATCGAGTACTTTGAAAATTCCTTCCTCTACGAACATTATTACCGCACTGCGATATATTTTTTAATCAGTTTTCGGGTTTAATTTTCATAATATTCATGATATTTTTTTATAAGTAAGAATATTTTGCGCAACCACGTTCGTCAATGAGTGCGCGAATTGACAATAAGACAAAGTACACACAAATAACTCGACAAACGCGACTAAAACTCGCTATGTCTCATACTCAGTCCGCTAATGCTTTCGAACATTTCTCCACCTCTTTCTCTCTAAACTTTCCCTCGAAACTCTCCAAACTTTCTCACTACCGCCCAGTATTCACCCTTAAGAAGATTTATTCTCACATACATACACCTGCGTGCACCTACGTAAGCCATTTTACTCGTCGCAGTAACTTTCGCACAAATTTCCAAAATCTTTTCTCTCCTAAAATGTCAGTTTGGCTAATTTGATTGCAAATCATCTGGGTCTGAAATTTTTTTTTTTTTATTCAAACGCAACAATATTAATAATAACAATAATATCATTCAAACAGATTTTAGTCTCTTGCGCTGGAATGACGTGCCACGCACGTCGAGAATCTTTTGTTCCAAAATTGTAATATTTTCACAGTTTTAAGTATAATCAAGTAAAACAAAATAGGCGAAACAAATAATAAATTTATTACTTGTCAATCATTTCCTATCCAGTGATATCATATACCGACGAGTTCGAAAAGAAAACGACGAATTATTGTATCACGGTTCGGTCACTCGTTATGGTCCGCAATCAGTTGCCAGCGCAAGTGGTTAAAACTAGAGACTTCGTGCATCAAAAGCGAGCCGACGTTTGTTATTAATGCACGATTTCTTTCTGCAGAATCATAACAGTTTAAAGATTTTTACAAGCGTTCGAATATTAATGGGGATCATCGCGTGTATTGTACTACGCTGTTAAACAGCTCGGTAGGCACGATTGCTTTCTAAATAAACGATCTGGCGATAGATCGATACAAATAGCGGATTAAATCGACTGTCGTCGTTCGTCGACGAGCTGGTATTCGCAGCCAATATCGAATCGCTTGGTTTGCTTTCCGAAACAACGAGAGTCGAAAACTCTGTTGCATAAGCGGCGGCCTGTGTACGCGCGCTGAATAGAAGCAATAATAGCGGGGGCGAATCGAAGACGGCTCTTTAACCGGTGTAATTGACCGCGTTTTCGTTTCTGTTTCAGTGCAACCTGCATTCGTACGTGTCATCGACGAGAACACGAAGAACACGTTAAGCACCGGTGCCACTTTAGGACCTATAAACGAAGGTTCGCCGATTTCCTTGTACTGCGAGAGCGGCGAAGGGAAACCAGTGCCTACGGTCGAGTGGTTTAAAAACGACCAGCCGCTGGAAGGTAAGATTCACCAGGATTTACCGTTTCCCTCTTTCCTCCACGACGTTTCACGGATTCTCGATCGCTTTCGAAACGATTTGTTAAAACACACTTTTGCTACATTCGACTCGTGCTTTTCAACGAAACATGAAAATCGAGATCACGTGAATGACTTTTTATTGAAGGTTTCTGGGTCGATATCTGGGAATATTTCACGATTTATTTAAACAATACTTAAACGCGTGAAATTAACTTAATACGAAATGTTCGATATCCTATAAATTGAATACTTCTTTACTTGTTAACTATCATTTTGTTCAAGAATATCACGAGAGTAGTGTGCTCGTTCTTTGATTAAAAAATTCAAACGTACAAAGAAGATCATATTATTCGTATTCCGTTTTAACAGTTATTTTTATTACAATGAAATTTATAAATTGTTAACTTATAATATAAGTTTAACCGCTATTGCTGACACTTTAATTTGTCATTATATTAATTTTAATTTTTTATTAATTTTATTATGTATATTTAATGTAAATAAATCATATATATATATAATATAATATTATATATTACAATATTACAATATTAATTATTTATATAATGGTTAAATTATTAAATTAAATTAATATTTTAACCACTGTATAAATAATTAATATTGTAATATTATGTTATAATAATTATATAAGTAATTTAATCATATATTTAATTTAATTAACAATTTAACCGTTACACATGCACACACGTGTTTCAGCGATCAGTTCGACGACGGTGGCCGAGAACGGGATCGGGAACGCGAGCAGCCAGCTGCAGATGCAAATCACACGCGACGAGCTGAACTCAACTTTCACGTGTAAAGTAAACAGTACGGCACTGGTCGAGCCACTGACCGTCGATATCAAGCTGGATGTCCATGGTGAGTACGCACGTACGTGTGTGCACGTTGACCTTCCCTTATTCACGACCAGACGCCATTGTCCTCTCAAAAGCGAATCACTCAAGGCCGATAAGCGTTTCTTTATCGACGTCTCGATCGACGAGAGCAGACCGAAAATAATCTCGGCGGACTTGAGCTCCTCGGGATCGTGTATTCGTTTATCTGGACATCTCTCGTCTCGGCGAGTCTCTCACCCCTTTAGAGTCGGGGGACGAGAACGAGGTCCTCGAAAGGGTGTGAAATACGATCCCCTTGTGTTTTCCTTTCCTGCGTGCGGATAGTCCGATTGTTTCCGCTGAAATTGAACCCCCCACGTGAAAGATAGAATCGTCCCGGGCATCTTGAAATTGAATTTATTCCTCGCTGTTGGATAGTTTTCGCGTAGCTTCTTCACGTTCGTACGTGAAATTTGATGGGCTCGGACGCGGACCGCCTCATTGCGGGATAGGTGACGAAAATGAAAGCGATTTGGAACGCAGAGCACGGAGACAGAACGCTGGATGCAATTGCGAGAAACTTCATAAACGTGAAAAATGGAAAATTAAACTTATTCATGAGGTGCTGTAGAATCGAAGATATTGCAAGACTACTACGGAACATCTCGTAGATTAACACGTTATGAAGTATCGAATAAAAGAACAAACGTTCCCGTCCGTTTACGATATTAATAACGAAGCAAATTGCGAGTACAAACGAATTAGAAAATACGTCGAACTGTATAGATTATTCGCGCATCTTCTCTGAAGATAAAGTCAAATTTAAGTCATCTTCAATCTCGAGTTATTATGTTCGTAAATACATGTAAATCGTATAAAGGAGATCGTCTCGTGTTTTAGGATATCGTCGTGTCTATCGTCGGTGTTCAAAGTTCAACGTCTCTTATTAAATAACAAAGAACAGAGTACATTAGAAGTTGTACAAAGGCGAGGACGCGCGGCGCGGTGGTCGGAAGATTAAATTATAAATTACGATTCCTCCGCTTCGACCGACGATAATAGATGTACCTGCGTGGAAGATTAATGCTTTCGGGTACAGTGATACAAGAAGTTTTCACCGTGCGATCGATTTCGTGCGGGGAACTTTTGAAAGTTGAGCGCGTGATCTATGAATTACAAACGAAGTGAAAGGGAATGGACGCCGTCGGTAAATTATGATCTTAGCTTAGTTTTAACCATAAATCACGTTGGCGAAGAAATCTCTCTTTCTCGCTCTGTGTCGTTAGAACTAAGGTCGTTTAAAATTCATGCGAGTCGCGGCCGCGAGTTTTAAGCTTCGCCTCCGTATTTTCGTTCGAACCCTCCCTTTCTTCTTTTGCAATCTCTTCTCCCCTTTCCATTAGTCGATATTGCGATTAAAGTACCAGCGTTTTATCGTGACTCGATTCCTCTTGTTCTTTCCGTGTCCGTGAAATTCAAAACGATGCCCAAGTGACAAATAACGCATTCTTTCGAATGAACATCGTTCGCGACAACTTTCCATTAGTGGGATTCACTTCAATTTATTTTTGTTAGTCCTCTTCCTCTTGATTCGTCGCTGCGGATTAATTGTCGCTGGTCATAATTGCGTGAATTAATGAAGGCGATAGATATAATAAAATACTCGCGTCTGTCATTGCAGTCAAAGATGAAAATTTTCCGATTATGGTTATTTTGTCCACAGGGTAGAAGAAATTTATATTACATTCGACTAGGAAACTCATTTTTGCTACGAAATGATTTATCCTACGACAAATAATCGAGCTTTTTGAATAAGAGTCTGTAATCGTGTGCAGAAGTTTATAAATAATAAAATAAATGTCAAATTAATAATAAATGTACATTAAAATATAAATTTTAAATTGAATTCATGAAGTTTTTATTACGAATTCAAACGTTAGCTAATATTAAAAGAAATGGATTAAAATATCCAGTTTATCGGAATTATTGCAATTGACTGCCTTAACGTTCACACCGAAAAGCATCACAGTCGTCTAACGCAACCCTTCATTTTCAACCGGAACAATTTGAAATCAAGGATAATCAAATGTTCGTGAAACGATTCGTAAATGTTGGTTCCTTTATCGCGTCGTTTCATCAGAAACTATTGTTTAATTTGGCTAAAATATTATAGATACCATTGAGGCAACGTATCGTATCTGATATCTGGTATACGACGCTGTAGGGTTTGTATTAAGTATGGATCGCTGCAGCAACGACGAGGAATGTCTGATCTATATCGGTCCGTAACTACTAGGATTATCCAATAGCGCTGTGATTTAGGGTGGTTGTCGATGGTAATGTAAATGAAATGCTACTGTATGTTATGTGGCATTCACCACTATACTATATATCATACCATACATATATAATATTATTATTTTGCGTTAATAATATATTTATAATATTACGTGTATAAATGTAATTTGTCTTTTTCGTTAATCGATATTGATTAATTAATAATTAACTAATTTCCAGCAATTATAGCTTAGAATCGCTGTGAGGAAATTTCGAAACCGAATCAAACGATACTGTACTTTTGTATTTAGTATTACAATTTAGTAAGGAAGTTAGACAGTAATAATACGAGACATGACAGTAGTATAGATCGTCATAACTCTGACCGATATGACATCAGACAGTAATGGTAAAAAGAAATAGAAATAAGAGATTCTAGATAAAAGAAAAAAACACGAAACGTGATATGAGATCTTTTCATGCAAAAAAGGAAAATTAATTAAAGTTAAAAAGATTGAAAATTCGTCGAATTCATTTTTTGAACGCAACTAAAGAAATGAAATGTAAGATTCATTTCACCCATTAAATTTTACAAGTACATTTTTGTACATTACATTGCATTTTTATATTTATCACATACAAATCTAACAATTTACACATGAATAGATATATTCCTGCTGAAAACTTTCAAGCATATTAGAGTTTCAAAAAGACGTACCTTATTATTTCCTTCTGTAAACACTAGTCATTGAAAGTATTGTGTGTATAGTTCGTATTCATTAACCTTCAGTTTGAAGATTAATACTAAACGTGAAAATTCAAAAATTCACATTCCGTAGGACTGAAATTTAGTTTTCCTTTCGAAACGAATGTAACGAATGTAACTCGATACTATAACTCAAATATTGAACTTATAATTACACGTGCCTGAACATAATCGAAACTTACCTCTCGGAGAAACGCACGTGAAAATTGATTTCATCCAAAGCAAACCGAGGAAACTCGGTTCTCTACGTACCCGAGCTAATAATATCCGAAAATTCTTCTCACGATCGGGAAGAACACGATTCCAGAGATATCGCTGGACCTGTCGTTGTAACATCCTATCGAGCGATTAACGATCGCGATGAATTCTCGCCACGATCGTTGGAAAATCGCAGAAAGATAGGATCGAACGCGGACACGGAGATTAAGGGATGAAGAATCAGCCACGGCGCCGTAGATTAGAATAATTTATCGCCTCACTGATACACGTTTCTCGCGTGCCACCGCCGCGAAACAAATCTCAGGCCATATTGCAGAACCGAGCACAACCGAGCGAACGTTCCACCGATTCAAAGTTTCCCGCGTAGAGTCATCCGTGTGCTGTATTCGCGACAAAAGTGGAACAAGTCGCAACGACGACCAGATTAAGAGTCAAAGTTTCGAGAGGCTCGTTTCTTCAACGAGCTTTCGCGTGATATTGTTTCCTCGTCAGGCTCGAAGTGTAGGAGAAATTTTGATTTACGACAGTATTCAGGTGGTCTTCTTGAATTGGTTTCGAGTATTTCACTGTTACGAGTTCGTCGAACGATCTGACGCATGGACTTTCGTGGGAAGTTTCGGGATCTGTGGGTGACGTCGAAGGGAAATTTGAATAACTGTGACTCTGGGCTTTAACAGCCGATCGATAAGTAGGCTTTGAAAGTTAGCACGGCTTTGGAAGTTGAGACACGGGTCGAAAAATCAAATTTGGCTGAATATTTCGCGAGTGATTCAATCATCTGGACGTTTGTGCATTTGAATATTTCACGAATGGCCAATTTGTGTTTAATAATTAGAAATTTGCGATTGCATTGATGTTAATCGTGATGATAGAGATGATGATTGTAGTTGCAGGTATTACACTTCAATTTAGACTTTAGGTTAGACAACCATTTTAATGTGAATCAAGTCGAATTCGAATTTTGTAATTCGTTTCTTAATACTTTCACGTTACAGAAAAGGAAAAGAAGAGTCCCTGGCAAGTTAAATCCTAGAATATCGAGATCCTCGAGAATATCGAGAACCGGGCGTACGTCAGAGAAAATCCGTAGCTACCAATTACGTTTCGGAACGTCGCGATCCAGTATAATTTACCCACGCGGATAGACTTTGGCACAAGTTTAACGAGTAAATAATTTGACAGGGATAATTATGGGGTTCGAATAGGCGGGCACGTACGAGCTCGTACTACTTACACTTCGTCTGCAAACGCGATGCTTGCCTTTTAAGACGGAATAAGTCGGAACTCTGACTCTCGTGGAAACCGGAGAGTTTGTCGTGCGCGCCGGGCAAAGCAATTCTCCTTTTACGTACTGTCGGGGGATTATCCCGTAGGAAAGAACAGACGAAGCGGCGAAAGACTTTGACGCGGCGTATCCAATGCTCGGGGAAATCACAAATTGTCACGGGACCGACGCGTTTCACTTCTCTTTGACACGCAACCGAAGATCTCTGTTTCTCGCTGCTGCTGTTGGCGAACTTGTCACTCGGATGCGATTACATCGAAATGAGGGTGTAGCCTCGATGTTTAGGCACGTCCTACTTTCTCTTCGAGCACGATTTCGTACGTAATTCGCGACGCAAGAATTCATACAATATATAGTTTATTTAATCGATGAAATGTAATTTAGGTTATTTGTAGAATCGATGAAATATAATTTTGGTGTTTAGAGTGTAGCAAGTTTTGGTTACTTGAAATTATATGAGTTTGGTTGTACTATAATTTAGGTATTTATAGCGTAA